CACGAGCTACACACCGCGAGCGGGCATGTCGGAGAATAGCGCGGACACGAGCTACACACCGCGAGCGGGCATGTCGGAGAATAGCGCGGACACGAGCTACACACCGCGAGCGGGCATGTCGGAGAATAGCGCGGACACGAGCTACACACCGCGAGCGGGCATGTCGGAGAATAGCGCGGACACGAGCTACACACCGCGAGCGGGCATGTAGGAGAATAGCGCGGACACGAGCTACACACCGCGAGCGGGCATGTCGGAGAATAGCGCGGACACGAGCTACACACCGCGAGCGGGCATGTCGGAGAATAGCGCGGACACGAGCTACACACCGCGAGCGGGCATGTCGGAGAATAGCGCGGACACGAGCTACACACCGCGAGCGGGCATGTAGGAGAATAGCGCGGACACGAGCTACACACCGCGAGCGGGCATGTCGGAGAATAGCGCGGACACGAGCTACACACCGCGAGCGGGCATGTCGGAGAATAGCGCGGACACGAGCTACACACCGCGAGCGGGCATGTAGGAGAATAGCGCGGACACGAGCTACACACCGCGAGCGGGCATGTCGGAGAATAGCGCGGACACGAGCTACACACCGCGAGCGGGCATGTCGGAGAATAGCGCGGACACGAGCTACACACCGCGAGCGGGCATGTCGGAGAATAGCGCGGACACGAGCTACACACCGCGAGCGGGCATGTCGGAGAATAGCGCGGACACGAGCTACACACCGCGAGCGGGCATGTAGGAGAATAGCGCGGACACGAGCTACACACCGCGAGCGGGCATGTCGGAGAATAGCGCGGACACGAGCTACACACCGCGAGCGGGCATGTCGGAGAATAGCGCGGACACGAGCTACACACCGCGAGCGGGCATGTCGGAGAATAGCGCGGACGCGCGAGCGGGCTGCGGGCACCCAACAGATTGTTTGACTATCAATAATCCCTCACATCACTCATTTTTTAAAATTATTGTATAGGTGTAAACAGACTTAAGGAACAGGCTCCAGGGGTAGGCTACTATTTAGCAGCATATGCTCAGCATCAGGGGTGTTTGTTGTTTGGACAGATCTGCCCCCACTGCTAAAAAAAAATCCTCAAGGAAACACTGTAACTCTTCTCATTTGAACTTTTCTGAAACATTAACCAAGATGGCCTAGTATTGTTGTTGATAAGAGTCTGTGTTGTCTCGTTTTAATTCTTAAAGTTAACATAATCTGACTGAGGAATCTTAGACAAGTAAATATTGTAACTGTGGTCAAATGTAAATTAACTGGTGCCTATTTAACTTTATTCAAAAAATATTATTTAATTCTGCAATTTTCCTTCATTAGCGATTATCATCAATTTGATTACACAGATATTAATTAAACTAAACAGCTAGACAATGGCATCTCTGAATTCAATAATGACATGCCTTTAACTGAAAATTGAATGTTTAATCTTATTATTATACATTACTGACTCTCTATCCTCCAATTTGATACTGTTAAGTGCTTTTTTGTAACAGTATATTTTAATCTTAAATAACAGTAGGTAATAAAAGTACATCATGTTAGCTCTGGTCCAATTAAAAAATATAAACAAATAGAACTCAGGACATTTTTGTTCATGTAAAATATACCTCATTGTCATGTTCTAGACTTGTTATATTTAGCTTTAAATAAAAAAAAATACCCCCTTAATATTGTGGCAGTTTTTTCTCCGTGGTATCGAAAATGGTATCGAATATCGATATTTTTCAAGGTATCGTATCGAAGTTAGAAATTCTAGTATCGTGACAACACTACTACACACTAAACACACTGCACACTGCACAATACACACTCTGCACACTACACACTCTGCACACTACACACTAAACACACTGCACACTACACACTAAACACACTGCACACTACACACTAAACACTGCACACTACACACTAAACACACTGCACACTACACACTGCACAATACACACTGCACACTACACACTGCACACTACACACTGCACACTAAACACACTGCACACTACACACTGCACACTAAACACACTACACACTGCACACTAAACACACTGCACACTGCACAATACACACTCTGCACACTACACACTAAACACACTGCACACTGCACACTAAACACACTCTGCACACTACACACTCTGCACACTACACACTAAACACACTGCACACTAAACACACTCTGCACACTACACCCTCTGCACACTACACACTGCACACTAAACACACTGCACACTACACACTGCACACTACACACACTCTGCACACTACACACTCTGCACACTACACACTGCACACTACACACTGCACACTAAACACACTGCACACTACACACTGCACACTACACACACTCTGCACACTACACACTCTGCACACTACACACTGCACACTACACACTGCACACTACACACTCTGCACACTACACACTAAACACACTGCACACTGCACACTACACACTGCACACTAAACACACTGCACACTAAACACACTGCACAATACACACACTGCACACTACACACTCTGCACACTACACACTAAACACACTGCACACTAAACACACTGCACACTAAACACACTGCACACTTAACACACTGCACACTTAACACACTGCACACTACACACTGCACACTACACACTGCACACTACACACTGCACACTAAACACACTACACACTGCACACTACACAGACACACTGCACACTACACACTGCACACTAAACACACTACACAGACACTGCACACCACACACTGCACACTAAACACACTGCACACTAAACACACTACACACTGCACACTACACAGACACACTGCACACTACACACTGCACACTAAACACACTGCACACTAAACACACTGCACACTACACTGCACACTACACAAACTCTGCACACTGCACACTACACAGACACACTGCACACTAAACACACTGCACACTACACACTGCACACTACACAGACACTGCACACTGCACACTACACAGACACACTGCACACCACACACTGCACACTAAACACACTGCACACTACACAGACACTGCACACTGCACACTACACAGACACACTGCACACTGCACACTAAACACACTGCACACTACACTGCACACTACACAGACACTGCACACTGCACACTACACAGACACACTGCACACTAAACACACTGCACACTACACACTGCACACTACACAGACACTGCACACTGCACACTACACAGACACACTGCACACTACACAGACACACTGCACACTACACAGACACACTGCACACTACACACTACACAGACACACTGCACACTACACAGACACACTGCACACTACACAGACACACTGCACACTACACAGACACACTGCACACTACACAGACACTGCACACTGCACACTACACAGACACACTGCACACTACACAGACACACTGCACACTTAACACACTGCACACTACACAGACACACTGCACACTTAACACACTGCACACTGCACACTACACAGACACACTGCACACTTAACACACTGCACACTGCTTCAGAAACTGCAGGCATTATTCCACACTACACACTAGTGTGCTACAGTGTCACATTGCATTGCATGTTTTTTTTACAATTTTTCATTCAGTTTTGTGTAGAAATGTCTGATCAGATTTGATATTTTTGGAGATGGTGGAGGATTACGAGGAGTGCATTGCATTGTGGGATAGAGTGTCTCTGTGTACTCTCGCTCAGCCCCCGATATACTCGCAGCGAAGTTCTGCTTCATCGCGTAGGGGAAAAGAACTGAAATAGCTTTGTCTGAGATTCAGACTCTTCAGTCGCGTCACGTTTATACAGCACTTCATACGATAGATTGCTTTGGTGCTCTTCCGTCTAAAAGAGAAAAAATTTACTTTTTTATTTTTTTCTTCATCAGAATGGTTCGAAACTTGGTGAAGGTTTTGGCACTTGCTGTGTGAACACACAAAAATCACGGCCATGATGTGAACAGGTTTAATGGTCCTGAAAACAACAGTCACACTTGTGCTCCTCGCGGCCAATGAGCGCACTGGAAATGGAGAGAGTTTCCTCTAGTGGAAGCGTGTGGAACTGCAGCCGAACACACTCTCACTGAACGCTCCTTTACTCAGAGATCAAGATATCAGACTCGAACTCGTTTAGATTTATGGCTTTGATTTTCTTGCAGTTTTAGAGTAAAATGTGATTTTGAAAATTATATATTTCATATCAAAATTTAAAAAAGTATGTTTACACATTCTTCATAACAATAAACGTACATTTCTGTAACTTTTTTGTTCACTTTTTAAAACTGTTTTCACTTCAGCAATAATCTGCCGAGTGTCGACTCTGAAGAGATCAAACTTCAGTCTGTCGCTCTAAAGCGCTAAAGGTTTACCACAGTTTAAGCTGGACATTTCATTTTCAGGTCTACGCTCAAAAAGTGAATAAATGGATTATAAATTCAGCGTAAATATAATTTAGTACCATAAAATCCCCTAAAAATACAAAATATTAAATAAAAAACACTATCAAACTAAAATATGGTACATTTATTTCATTAACAAAAACAAATAAAGATGTGGTCATTTTTGAGCGACACGTGAAGAGCGCCAGAGGGTTAGAGTCGCAGCTTTACTGTATCACAAATGAAAAACCGTATCAGTGTCTCTTTCACGAAGACCCACAGCTCCAGTTTCTGCTATAAAGCGTAAAAACAGAAGAAATGAACCAGAGACGATTTACACCTCAAAGAAGGCGGAGTCTCAGAGACACACCCACCCATTACATCATCGCCACGGACCAATAGGAGCTCAGCGGAGTTTAGAAGCCGCCGCGAACGTGTCCGGAAGTGTGTTTCAAACACCTGAAAAAAACTCTTGATTTTGTTGAGATTGGCTTGGCTGCAGTATATCGGGGTCTCAGTATACTGGTGTGTTCTGTGTGTGTGTGTGTGTTCCAGTAATCTCACTGAGCTGTTGTTGTTGTTGTTTCTAACGCTGCCTGTACTGTAG